GACACAAGCCATGATATTTCCAATCACCTCGTATGCATGTGAGAGCTGGACAATGAATAAGGAAGACTAAAGAAGATTTGATGCTTTTGAGTTGTGGTGCTGGCGAAGAATGCTAAAGTACCATGGACTGCTAAAAGAACTAACAGATCTGTCCTGGAGGAAGTGCACCCGAAATGCTCCTTGGATAGGAGAATGGCCAGACTTCGTCTCACCTATTTTGGTCATGTTGTCAGAAGTGACCATTCCCTGGAGAAGGATTTAATACTTGGTAGGGTGGAGGGTCAACGAAAGAGGGGAAGGCCTTCAATGAGATGGATTGACACGGTGGCCGCGATGATGGGCTCAAGTATAGCAGGGATCATGGAGCTGGCGCGGGATTGGGCAGTGTTTCGTTCTGCTGTGCATGGGGTCGCTATGAGTCAGAAACGACTCGATGGCACCTAACAACAACAGCAGACTAGGTTGCTGTCTGTATGAGCACAGATACAGCTAAGATCTTTTTAGATGCTTTCAGGGGCCTGGAGGTGAGGGAAGAGGGATGGGAAGAGGCACGAGATATGACAACAACACTACTGCACGTTCCTGGGCAGCTCTTGTTACCGCCCCTCCACCAGGTCCTTCATCAGCTGCAGAAAGGACACAAGCGTTTAACAAACTCTCTGTACTTCTAAAAAGCGACATTCGGGACACACGTACACAAAGAGGTTGTGGGCTCCTCTCCAGACCTATGTTTTGAGCTATTTATCATTGACACCTTCCCATGCTGTTTGTGATCCGATTCCAGCACGAATGTGTGCAGGTGTTAAACCACCTGCTTCCAGCAGTGTTGGGAAGAGCTGGGATGTGTTGAAAAGATGGGAGTCCCTGGGTGGTACAAACAGGGACTATACCCAGCTGCTAACTGAAAGGTTGGAGGTTCAAGCCCACCCAGAGGCACCTCGGAAAAAAGGCCTGATTACCTACTCCCCAAAAACTAGTCCTTCAAAACCCTATGGAGCACAGTTCCACCCTGACACACACTGGGTCATCATGAGTCACGGCTGACCCACAGCAACTAGTATTTTATAAAACAGTGGTCCTGGGTATTGGGGGACCCACCATCCAGGTTGCCTGGGACCACAGGGGTTCCTAGGATGAGGGGCTTTGAATGCTGATCCTGGGGCACAGTGAGATGAGGTGGTCACCTTAATGGGGAAGACAGAAATCAGTCACCTGATAGGAGAGAGACGACCCTGAGCACCCAGGCATGTCCTCTGCCTACACACTCTGTGACTTGCTGTTAGCTGCTGCTGAGTCAATTCTGACTCACAGGGACCCCATGTGTGCAGAGTAGAACTGCTCCATAGGATTTGCAAAGTTGTGACGTTTCAGAAGCAGATCACCAGGGCTGTTTTCCAAAGTATCCCTGGGTAGACTTGAACCTCCAATCTGCTGGCTACTACACGAATGCTTAATCACTTGTACCACCCAAGGACTCTTTTCTGTCACTATTTAAAACCAACCAACCAACCAACCAACCAACCCCACACCAAAGAAAATGCAAAATCATTTAAAAAAAAAAAAGGGGGGGGGTTGTGCGCCAGGTTTGCTGGTCTGATAGAGCCTGATGGAACCACTGAATCTAGGGCCCCTAGCTGCCCTTCAGGTCTGGAACTGAACCCACTTCTGTGGCTTCCAGCCAAACAAAAGACAACCATATGAGGTGAACATTTACATCAGGTAAGATACTCCTTGGAGAGATCAATCATGGGAGAACAGAAGGGCTGTGTATGCACAGGGAGACAGCCAGAGGGGCAGGAATCCATGAGAGGGAAGGACACAGGGAAAAGGTAACTATGGGGACGAAGTGGGAGGGGAGCTGTTGCATCATGGGAAATTGCAGTCAAT